AGCACCTGCTGCCTCAGTTTGCGCATCTAGGCAGTTGGAATGACACATTCCCCTAGCTGTTCACACATGTGCAAGAGGATGCCTGCTACCACGGTTACCACACACACCCGCACAAGAGTCAATGGCTTAGAGAAGGAGCTGTGACAGATAAAAGGTATTCCAGTCTTCCTTACCACTCCATGCAGAAATCACTAGGTCTTATCATGGGGTAGGGCTTATATTTAACAAATGCTTAGAAATCCTGCTAGGGCTTATTTTTTGGGTAGGTCTTATTTTGGGGGAAACATGGTATCATCAAAATCAAGGCAAGGGCCCAGACACAGTGCCGCCGAGCATTCTGGGAGGCTGAGACGGGAGGATCCTTTGTGCTTAGGAGTTCAAGACCAGCCTGAGCAAGAGACCATCTCTACTAAAAGCAGAAAAATTAGCCAGGTGTCATGGCATGCACCTGTAGTCTCAGCTACTCGGGGGCTGAGGCAGGAGAATCACTTGAGCCCAGGAGCTTGAGGTTATAGTTAGCTATGATGATACCACTGCAATCTAGCCAGGGCAACAGAGCAAAATTCTGTCTAAAAAAAAAAAATCAAGGTAAGACCCTCTACCATGAAAAAGTTAATAACTTACTGAAGGCTCAGCTGATCATTAATATTTTTTAGCAATAAAGGGAACAATGGCATGGCATGGGGATGAGAGGGAGTGAGCAAAGAGAGGGAAGGCAGGGCCAGGGCCTGGTATGAGAACCAGCAATGGGGCTCCTGGTACACAGGTTCTTTTTTTAGTCAATCCTATTGCACACATACCAGATTACAGTATAGTGTAAACATACCTTTTATATACCTTGGGAAACCAAAAAATTTGTGTGACTTGTTTTATTATATTTGATTTATTTTGGTGGTATTGAACCAAAAATATCTCTAAGGTATGCCTTTTTATTTTATTTTATTATTTTTTTTTTGAGACAGAGTCTCACTTTGTCACCCTTGGTAGAGTGCTGTGGCATCACAGCTCACAGCAACCTCAAACTCTTGGGTTTAAGCAATTTCCTTACTGTAGCCTCTCACATAGCTAGGACTACAGGTGCCTACCACAACGCCTGTAGTCCTAGCTTTTTTTGTTGCAGTTGTTCTTGTCACTTTAGCTGGTCCAGGCCAGGTTGAAACTCACCAGCCTTGATGTATGTGGCCAGTGCCCTACCCACTAAGCTATGGGCACCACCCAGGTATGCTTTTTTATCCAAAGGAAACACAATGGAGAAAATAGCAAAGAGCAAAATCAACAAGACTGATAACTTCTGCCCAGATTGATAAGAAAGAAGAAACTATCTGTATTGGCAATGAAAAAGTAAATACCACTATAGACCATACGCCAACATATTTAACAATTTAGATGAAATAGATATTTGGAGATACAGAAATAGTTAAGTGCCAAAGCCCAAAGGTACTAGGACAGCTGGTGCAGTTGGGTCTGTGGACAAGATGGTGCTGTCTAAGCAGTGAGTCTGATGGTGGAGGATCAGACAGGTAATAGGGATGGATACAGGGATAGGGAAGCAACGCTGAGGTAAATGCCAGCCTCCTGCCTAAAGGTTAGCACCTGCTGCCTCAGTTTGCGCATCTAGGCAGTGGGAAGGACAAACCGGGTCTAACAGAGCTACCATGAAGACCAACTCTGATGGAACACAGTGCCTGCCAGCCCTACCTTGGACTTTCCCAAGCCCAGGTTTCCCGAGGCTGCCCCATCTGCCCCCATTCCCTCACAATGACTACACCCATTCTGATGCCCCCAGTGAGATGAGCTTTCTCTTTACCTCTCAACAGGCAGTTCCTACTCCCCGTACCTGTTTCTCTCACAGAGCAGCCAAGTATGGCCAACCTGGAGTGGTCCCCTCCCCGATCCCCCTTCTGAGTCAGGGGCCTCCCTTGGGCTCAGTGCCCAAATAAGGACCATGTTTGTTGAGAGCAGCACAATGAAGGCAGCTGCTCTTTGCATGACCATGGAGACCCCTCCTTGGAAACATTAGGTGTGAGCCCCTGTTGCCAGCGTCCTCTGCTCAGACAGGGTTAGCCCAAGAAACAGGGGCCCAGACACCCCCAGCTCTGCGTCTATCCATCTCTGAGCTTCAGTTTCCTTACCTGTGGATTGTGGTGCTGGCACCCACCTCCCACAGCCCTACCGGCACTCACCCAACAGGCTTTGCCGTTCTTCTTTCTTCCGGGCCTTCTGCTTGGCCTCCAGCTGCACCACTGACAGGGATGGCCCCGCTGCAGGGCTGGGGAGTGCGCTGGCCGCAAAGCGGGCCAGCAGGCCCAGCCCACTCTCCTCCAGGCCCGGCGACAGGGCCCGCTCCCGGGCACCCAGCTTAGAGCCACTGCCAGACTCGTCCGCTTCCTCCTCGAGCTCCTCATCATCGTCCTCCTCGGAGCTCTCATCTGGCGTGCAGAAAACAGGTGCGAGTCAGAGCCCTGGCCTTGGTGTGTGCTGCCCCCCACCACCCCCAGCCCTGAGCAACTACCAGGCTCCAATCTAGCCCTTCAGTCCTTACCATGGGGCTGCTAGGGGTGGATTCAGAACCAGCCCACAAGTGCCCCCCAATGGCCCAACACCCCCCATCAGTAGAGCCCAAGACTCGGGCATCCTGGCTTTGTGTACCAGGGTGGGCTTCTATAAGGGGGCACCAACATGCATCTGTGCTGTGGGCAGGGGCCACACACACGGACATGGACTGGAGACAGCTCTCTCCGCAGTCTCACACACACGCCCCGACACATGACATGGAAGCTGAGGAGGAGGAGGAAGAGGAAGTGGAGGGAAAGGAGGAGGAAGAGGAGAAGGCTCAACTGGGCTTCTGGGAATAGGTGCTTGTGGCAGTTTCACCAGCCTGAGGCCTGGGGGCTGGCAGCAAGAGAAGGTGGAGTTGGGTCTTTTTCTGGGAGCTAGGGGTCCCCCACAGTTCAAGCCCAGAGCAGGGCTCTGAAGCACACTGATGACTCCCAGCAATATCCTGTTTCTCATCTACAGCGAGGAGCAACCTTCCCTCCCAGCCCACTGGCCCATTGAAAGGCAATGTCCAAAGAAAATCACAGGTATGTAGAAGAAAGTTGCCTGCAGGCTTGAAGAGGAGCCAACAGAAAAAGGGCCACCCTCTATCATCTGCACAAATGGACCTGCAGCCGGTCACTCCACTTGACTCACAGAGAGCCCAAAACAGGTAGGGAGTCAGGCCACTTCACCTCAGGCCAACGGAGGCTCTATGGAGCCAAGCACTCAGGCAGCAAGAGCAGGACTCGAACCCAGAACAGACTGGCCAGCTAAAGGTCCTAGCCTGGTTGGTGAATAAAAACAAGCTTCTCAAAAAAAAAAAAATAAATAAAAAAGCTTCTCCCCAGCAACTGGCCCTGCCAGCCCAAGGGCCTGCACCCCCAGAGCCTACCTTGGGTTCTAGGGACAAAGGCAGGATGAGTAGCAAGCAGGAGACAATACTCCTGCCCATTACCAAACTCCCACCAAAAGAGAGACTGTCTGAGTGCATACTTCAGACCTTCCCAGGGAGATAGCTAGCTAACCTCTGATGAGGATAGGCAGGCAAAAGGTATCAAAAGCTAATTGCACCAAGATGCTGTGGCCAAGGAGCCAACAAGGGCAGGTACCTGTCTGCCCCACAGGTCAAAGTGCTGGGAGCATCAAAGTGGCTCTGGAGGCCACTGGTCAAGGGCACAGCCCTGAATGTTCTATCCAGCAAAAGCTGAGGCACCATGCTCTCTCCAGGGCAAGGACAGTTTAGGCTCTGGGAAGAGAATGGGGAAGACAGAAGGCCAACTCCACCTTCTCTTCTCTTGCTAACACCACAAGTCACCCACTTGCTTAAGTGTAACTAGTGGCCAGTTGGCAGCCCCAGGGTTATCAATGCAGGCAGAGGACCCATCTACTTATTCATCAAAGGCCACCCTTAGAGAGGCAGGGATAGAGATGAGCTTAAGGACTCTGCAAAGGATGGGAAGGAGGGAGGAGCTAGAGAATGAAAGAGAGGAGGTTAAAAGGGTGAGAAGCTGGGAGACTGGCCCCCACAGCGATGGATGGAGCAAGCTGGAGAGGCCAGCAGGGCGGCAGGGGCAGGCAGGCAGTGCACACTTGCGGTCATTCACATTGCGGACGTCACATGGTTCTGTCTCCGCCCCAGTGGGCCACAGCGGCAAAGCAGGCTAAGTGTAGGCAGACTTTCGACAGCGCCTGGGTCTCCCACATTGGGTCTCCCTGGGGTTGGCCAATCTGAGCAGGGTGGCAGGCAGGGGCTGGCTGGGGCAAGGACACGGGTTGGATATGTAGCCAGGAATTTTCCCTTCTATAGACACCCTGACCTGGCTGCTCATGTGTGGAGACTCCAGAACTCTAGGATTCTTACCCAGCTGGGGAGGGGAGGGCAGGGTGGGCTTTGGGTTTCTGAGCCCCCACGATGTCCACATCAGGGCCCAGAAAACCAGTAGCAGGCTGATTGTAGTACTTTGAAGGCCCTCCACCTCCCTGCATGCCTGACCAGGCCATACCAGCTGCTCCCATGAGGACTGGTGCACTTGGGCCAGCAGAGCAGGGATGCAGAAAGGGCCTGAGAACCCAGAAAGCCTTTCTGGAGTTGTCCACACCTGAGGCAACAGAGCTTGCCAAGGGCGAGGGAGAAAAAGTCCCAAGGAAATGCAGAAAAACTTTGTTGTATTTAAAAAAAAAAAGAAGAAGAAATCTTGGCTTAGGACATAGGGTTGGCTGTTACAACTTGGTTTGGTTTTCCAAAACCCAATAAACGTCAAAGCAATCTGCTGCTGCCAGACCTGGTGGGGGCAAACCCCGAGGAGGGGAGGTGTACAGAGGACAGAAAGAAAAGGGTTTTGCCTACCTACGGAGCAACGAGCCAGGCTCGGACCCAAGCTCAGTGACCCGCTGCGCCGTCTGCCCTACTCCCAGCCTTCGCTTTGCGTCCAGAGTGCAGCGTGAGAGCAAATGCAAGAGACCGAAACAGACATTCAAAGCATCATGGGTAGGGGTCAAGGGTGAAGGTATGGTCAGGCTGCTGGGAGGAGAAAGCAGACACACTAGAAAAGCCAAGCCAATTATGTGTTTTAGTACCAGGGGTCAGTAGGCCCTATTACCCAAATATCCCTTTTGAGACCTGATCAGTGGTCTGCTTGTTAGAGGGACAAGCCTAGGAGCCTGAGCACCCCCCATCCCCTCCACTATCTGGGCTCTGGCCACAGGGACTATGGCATCCAGCCTGAGCACCCAATCTGTACAGGTGGCCCCTTCCTGAGAGGTCTAGGGGGATGCCTGCTTCTTTGTGATGGCTGAGCTGGGGCAGGAACTCAAAAGCTTAGAAGTAGGACCCTGGCTTTGCAAGTGCATGGGGGAAGGGGCACAGGCATGCAGCCATGGGGATCCAAAGGAGGGAGAGGAGGTTGGGGAGGCAGAGGGGAAGGCAAACCAACCAGCTTATTCACAGAAGGCTTGGGCAGGGAGGCCTCGGGAAACAAGGCTGGCAGGCAGTTTAGTAGCCTCTCTTCTAGGCCCAGGTTGCATTCATTCACTCAGGTGGGCAGCAGCCCAGGAGGACGTGAGCCCAAAGAGCAGTGAGCTTCCTGGTGTGCCATTTCCTGGTTACCCAAAATCCATCTCTGCTAATTTGGAGGGAAGGTCTGGGAGGGAAGATGATAGACCAGGAATTCGGGAGCAAGGCTAGGAAATGGGGGCAGTGTTCTGGTCCCAGGGGCTCAAGCCAGGTCATGTCCAGGTATGCCATGACACCCCTGGGCCTTTCTCAGGGAGCATCTGACATCTGGGTATTGCCACCCTGGGCCCTGGGGATCTCCAAGGCCTGGCTCTAGAGGGAATCCACCTGAAGCAAATCCTAAAAGCCAGGGTCGGGGAATACTCTCAAGGATTCACTTGCTTCCCCTTCTTGGGTATTTCTGATTGAGGGGCCCGAAGGGCTCAGTATTTCTCACTCCAGAAGTACAATTCTGCCATTAGAGCAGTCCGAGCCAAAATGTTCTCAGGAGTCCTAGAATCTGATCCTCTTTTTATGTGAGATGAATAAAGACCCCTAGCCAAGACGAGGACAAACCAGGTCTAGGACCAGGCCAGTCCTCTCTCCAAACCACTGTGCTTAATCCCTCAACTTAGCAATGAAGCCAATGATTTCAAATTTTACTATAAAACCAGGGATGTCAAGAGGTCTCAGCCTTGCTCTGCCTACGTGCCCTTCAAAACAGAAATACCTGTTAGAAGACAAGTGTTTATAAACAATTACTTTTTAACCACTGGTGAATAAGAATAGAGCTTTAAGAAAAAAAAGACAAACAAGCAACTGAAAAAAAAAGATGGTGCTGGAGGTGAAAGCAGTTGATTTTAAACCTGAAAAATGGAATGGATGCCAACAGCTACCAGGGATATTTGGATAATAGAGCAAGCGGCAGGCTGTATTATCCCATCTCTACTCCTTCTGGGGTGGTGAGGAAGGGGAGGGGAGGAGGAACAAAATGGAGGGGAGCGTCAACCTAATGTCTAGTAAGGACACAGCAAGAGAGACAAGGCACACGGATTTAGTTAAAAATGAACTCGATATGTTTAATAAAGCTTGGTATTACCAAAATCGCGGTACAAACATCAAGTCACACGCCCACACAACAGAATTCCATTTACAAAACGTCCCTCAGAAAGCCTCCACCAGGCCCATGCCAAAAGAGAACCCAACCCAAGCCCGGGGTCTGGGTGGGTAGAGGGTGGGCAGGCACCTGGGGTAGGGGGAGGGCAGAGAGGAAGGAGAGTGGAGGAAGGTGAAGACCAAAAAGCAGTCCATATAAAAGCTCGAAAAGAGCTAGCCAAGGGTGTTATCACAATGATACAGTACAAACAAAAACAAAAATAAAAATAATTAGGCTGATAAAGCAGGCTACGCTGCCAAGAACCCAGATGGCTGCCCTTCCTGCGGCCATCGGGGCGGACGGCCTTGGCATGGCCATCTCTCCTGTGCGCTTGCTCTCCCTGCCTCTCACTCGCTCTCACTCGCACGCATGCTCGCTAGAAAATACGGAGGGTATTTTGTGTTTGGAGCTAGTAACCTTGGTCAAACGAGTCCTCCGAAGAGTCGCTGAAGGAGGAACGTGCCTCAGCCTCTCGGAGCAGCAAACAAAACGGCTGCTTTCTGCTGGTGGCCGACTTGGGTTTCAGAGTCCGGGGGGCCACTAGGCCCCTCTTGGTCAGCTTGGGGCTGCCAGCCACCTTGCTGCTCTTCGCCACCATGCCACAAAGAATGGAGGATGTCAGCTTGGAGCTGGAGGGGCCCTGAGCAGACCACTCGTCCTTCAGGAACTCTTCATCTTCCTCTGAGTCCGTATCTGCAGTCAGAGTAGTTTTTAATAAAGGTAAGTCACAGAAAACTGGGGAGGGGAAAGGGTTTGGTGACTTCATTCTATTGTTTTTAGTGGTTTTGAGAACACACTGGAAAGGTGCCAGAACAGAAAGGTCCAAATGTCTGTTGGCCGTGGGAAAGCTACACTTGAGGCTGTGAGCTCCCCTCCTAGGTCGGGCCTCTGGCCTCACACCTCTAAGCCTTGAGTGCCACATGGCTGGCCTTCTGAGTGCCAAACCCAGGGCCTTCCTGGGCTGGACAGTGCCAGCACCAACACTAGTCACTTAGCCTTTTCTGGAACCAGGCAGAAGAAGCAGTTCTCAGGAATGACTCTTTCCTAGCTATGATGGTCATTCCCACGGCAGCTCCCTTCTCTCTCTGGGATTGCACACAGCCCAGTTGTGGCTATGGGGAAGGGACCTGACCTGCTTGCAAGAGCCAATCTCCCTCTAACTCCCTGCTCAGCTCAAAATAGGCTGTACTGAGAGCATTTATACCAAAGAAATTGGCAAATGATGTTATAAACAGGGGCTCCCCTGCCCTGCATCAGAGTTGCTCACCTGTACACCACCGCTGACATCTCCTGCCTAACTGTGCAATCGAGGACAAGAGTTTGCAAATCTTCCTCGGATAAGATCAACCAGCTTCAGGTAGGGGAGTCTGTTGATTGGGCACAGCTCTGGTTCCTTCTGAACCCAACTTAAACACACACCATTTTAACCTGTTCTTCATACTGGGCTGTTGAGCAAGATGGGAAGAAAGAGCTCCCCAGCCGCAAACTAATCCCTTGATCTGCTAAATCCATTCTAAACAGGAGGAACAACACAGCTATCTACAGCTTCAGCAGTGCTGCCACCCGTAAGCCTAGGAGACACTACACACATGGGAAGGTGGGCTGGGGGGATCCTCTGCCTGCTTCTACCAACATCTACACTTTCCACTCTAACAAGGAGCACTACTTTGATGGCCTAGCAACTCAAGGGTGAATACGGTCAAGTTCCACCAAGCTGCCAGCCCCTGCCGGACCGCTAGCTGGTCTTCCTCTTTTGTGTGCCAATCCGTCCCTCCCAAAGCCACATCCCAGGCTGGTGATGCCAGTAGGTGATAATAACAAACTTAGCTTCCCACAAGGACCCACAGGGTACGCCACACCCACCCCCAACCCAAACTGAAAAGCAAGAGAGTGTCACTCTCACTTCAACCCCTATTTACACATCATCTCTCTGGTGGAAAATAATCCCTACCTCTTTGTGACCTTCCACTCTCACTGGCCTAGAACTGCAGAAAAGCAAATTATTAAAAAAATAAGTGAAAGAGCTCTCTCTCCACAGAGCCAGGTGCAAATCACAGCCAGTATTCAGTAAGAGACAGGCCTGCTGATTTTCTTGTTGTAACATTAGCCTATTTCTCTCCGCTGGACAGTGGAGTTTTAGACAAAGGCATAACATGGTCAGATTGACAATTTGAACATTCCCTCACATGCAAGGAGTATGAGTCACCAGCTCGGAGTACCCCAAAGACCTTAGGAGCTGGGCTAATCTCTGACCTCTAGCTCCACTACATCCATACCTACCTGTAAGCAAGGGACTGAGAAGGATTCTTCCAGCAACCAGCCACACCACATTCACAGACCCCCTCCCACTTGGCAGATCAAAAGAGTCTAACAATCCTCTTTGCCTCCTCTTCACTATTCCAAAATGAGCAGAGATGGAACAAACAAAGGAAGGCCCTTCCCTTCCTCTGATACTGTTTCTCTCTACTTGTGCCCACATACTGGCCAGGGGCCTGGGTTCTGATCACATCCATTTCAATCAGAATCTGATCAGAGGGGCATTGAAGCTCTATCAATCTCAATCTCACTCATCCTCAACATGTAAGATACAGTTGTTTGCCCCACACCCATGAGAGCATCCATCCTAGCCAGAGGCAAACAAAGAAAATGCACACCTGAAAAAACAGCAGGTTAATCCTGTGCCAGGCACCACATTTAGCTCTTTGCCTGTTTGAGCTCACTTAAAGCTCCCAACAGCCCTGTAAGGTAGGTGATGATATTCTAATTCCAAGTTCATAAACACTTTTTATTTTCTTTCCCTAAGAAAACACACTTTATTGTAGCATTAAAAGAGTCCATTGACATTCAACAGTTCACTTGACATTCAAACTCCCCTATGAACCAGCCAGAGCCAATGAAAAGCCCTGGACATACAGAACCAGGGAACTGCAAAGGCAAAAGTCCCCTCCTCCCCCACCTGGCTGAGGGGACTTCCAGAAAACACTCCACTGGCACTGGCATCAACACCTTCTGGGACCCAAAAAGCCCTTCAGAGGCCTTCCTGCGGCAGCCATACCCTGGGCATGAGGTGCTCAGTCCACAAAGACTAAGTGAGCACCTACTGCCCGCCAGGCTAAGTAGCCTCCAGACCAGAGGTCACAGAGAGGCACCCTGACCAGGAAAACCACAAGGACACACGAACTCGGCAGTCTCTTGTTCAATGAAATTGTTACAAGTCTGTCTCCCAGTCCCACTGGGTGCTCCATTTCAAGGGATCAATAGCCACACGCAGCTGGTGGCTACTACACTGGACAAAGCAGATATGGAACATGCTCATCATGGCAGAAAGTTCTAGAGAACAGGTGAATCAGGCAGTGCTGGGTTTAATCCTGACTCAACTCTCTGACACAAGCGCAAGGTGCTTATCTCAACCACCTACAGCAGCTGACCAAGACTGCTGTACCTTCTAAAGCACACACCTCTAAGGCAACATCCTCAGCAACAAAATGGGAGTAACTATTCAGAGAGCCACCAAAAACAGAGAAAAAAGGCCTGTGAAGCCGTCTGCTCACAGCCCAGGACGGTGGTCTGTAAGCTAAGTTCACACTAGCGTTTCATTACACATTAATGGAGGACAGCAAGCTCCCTGTGGGCAGGGGCAGCCAGTCAGCTCTAGGACCCTCAAAAGCAATCACATTCCAAACCTCTGTAGGCCAAGGAGCCACAAATCCTATGGCGTGCAAGACCTCCACACAGACAGCTTCTGGCTGACAAGCGCAAGGGTGGGCACAAAGGCTGGTAGACATCCTCTCCCACCCATCAATCACAGACGCCCACCAATCACAGGTGCTTGGCCCGGCACCACACCCACCATCACAGACACTTCTGCTTCAGGTAGCTCCGCTTCAGAGAAGGCTTCCAAAGCCAAAAGACACTTCAGTGTGCCCCAGAGAAGAGGAAGAAGAGGATCAAGGAGCAAAAACGGGAGAAAAGGAGAGAAGCTGTGTGCCAGAGGTGGCGCAGTGCACACTACTTACTGTAGGAGTAGCTGCTCACTTCCGAGGCGAACGGAGAATGGGCTGACTTGGGCTGGCCTCTGGCCTTGAACCCCACCTCCATCTTCCTGGCTTTGGCAGCCCTTTTATGTTTACCTTCTCTGGAGGATTTCAGAGACAGGCCCAGGCCTTTGGCCAGCACCTTCCTGTCCTTGCCCAGCAGGCTGTCATAAGGAGTCAGGTACCTGCTGCATCCCCCACTGGTTTTCGATTTCCCCCCAGAACTGTCCGAAAATTTGAAGGGCGACTTCAACTTGTCCTGCTGCTTTGTGAGAGAGAGGGCCTTGTCTAGCTTGCTTGCCAACTGCTCCTGGTCGCTGGCCATCTTCTTCTTCTTAACCTTTAGCTGGAGAGGGAAGTTGGGTCACAGGTTAAGACATCTGGAAAATCAGAATGGTGGATTTCAGTGCACAAGTTCTGACAAGCTTGGTCTCATCCTCACCCCTGCCTCTGTGATTTTGGGTAAGTCATTCACCTCTTCTTAGCCTCAGTGCCTGCATGCTATAAAATGGGTGCCATCGTAGGGTCATTCTGAAGATGAACCAGGACAAGGTACACAAAGCACTTCTCATATAATGCCTGGCACAAGATAACTGCTTATTAAATAAATAGCTGTTGCTGTGGCTACAGTTATCCCTGGCACTGGCAGCTCCACTCTGGCTTACAGTGGCACTATTCGGCACCTTCAAAGGAAGCACTTTAAGCAAACAAAGCTGCCCATGGCCTCAAGGAAGCAGGTGAATTCCGGGAGGAGGGAGGGGGACAAGATTGAAAACCTAGATCGAAGCTTGGTTGATCCGCTTATCTCAACCACCTACAGCAGCTGACAAAGACTGTTGTACGGTCTAAACCGCCCATCCAACTAAATGGGCCAAAGCTGCCAAGAAAATGCTGAGTGTTCCTTAGATGCCTAAAGCAGAAAGAATGATTAGAGATTTCACAGATTAAATTCCTGCTGCACATCTATCGTCAACTATAGTCATTTGTTGAAATGAAACATGTAGTTCAAAGCCATTAATGCCAAATATTGAACATTTTATCTCCATTTTCTTTAATCAGGTAGCATTTCATATGGAGAAAAATAGTTGGGATAGCATCATTTAAATAGCAACAAAAGCATCCCTCACCACAATTTGAGAGTAAAGATCCTGATGTACAAACTGGCTATCTTCTTCCTCCTAGCCCCAGTCTCCCTAACTGAGTATTCCCCTCTCATGGCCAAATCTAACAAATCACCTCCTCGCACATGGTTTTATGGGGAGGAATGACATAATACATGAGTGTTTACAGACAAAGACCTTAAGTAGATGACTTCAATGCTCTGCAGAAGTAAGTAAAATCAAGGAGTTAGCTCTTACTCCATTACCCTTGAAGAGTTCACAGAGGAAATTACAGTGGCATCAATCCCTTGTTTTTTAGAACTACAGAATAGTGAAGCTGCTCATTAAATAGTTATACTATTAAACAACAGAGTAATTGCATTATTTGGTTAAGAACTTGCAGTCTCCCTGCTTGACTTCAGCACAGTGAAGCATGTGGGTCATGGAGCATACAAAGGGATATGGCTTTTAGCCCCAGCCTCACCTCTGAGGCTGTGTTACTTTGGTAAATCCCTAACCTCCTCTGGGCCTTCCCCTCACCCTTCTCCCCAACATGGTACAATATAGAAGATCAGAAAAGAGTTGTTCTGGCAATAGGGCAGCCATTTCTAAGGTTTCCTTGCAGGAACAGGGGCCTGTAAAGGCAGTGTGAACTCCAACATACTTTCCAGACCCTTCACCCCAGGGTCACAGCACACCTGGAAGATCAAGTAACTAACCTGACTGAGGAAGTCAGAAGAGGCTTCGTGTTCATCCCATGTCTGGTTCCTCCCCCTGGCTTTACCCATTCCGATGAGAGCCTCATGTTCATCCTCAGGCCCTTTGTGTCTCTTCCTTATCCCTGCTCCCAACTCGTAGTCATCCGATGTCAACAGCGACTTGCTGCTCAGCCTAAAAACCAGAGGCACCATTGGTCAGCACTCTGGCCAGACAACATTCAAGGGCTGAGGGTCCACCCTCATGGCCCTGAAGGGTTGGGCTCTGGATACTGAAGCACAGTGATCCCAGAGTGATGAGTCTAGGGAAATGGGTCTTGTAAAACTAGGTGCTGTAATGCTGGGATATTTGAGAGTGCAGTATAACAAGAATTTAATGTGAAAGGACAAAATGATTTCTCCAAGTCAGCATCCTGCACTGGGTTCATGCACTTTCACATGTGATCTCGCACGGGCGCGCGCACACACACACATACCCCTACATGACCAGAGACCTCTTTACCAAACATGCCAAGAACAAGGATCAGAAATGCCAAGGAAACTTGCTAAGACGCAGGGTGGGGGTGGGGGGGATTAAGATCAGGAGTTATGCTAAGAAGGAGCCACTTGCTGGCTTCCCAAATTCTCATGAGTAGAGAGGCAGTGGGGACGGGCCTGGTTTAAGGTCTTTGCTTGCCTGCTTTGAGCTGAAGCTTCACTTAAGAAAATACTGGTCTTTACTTAAGGCCGTGTGTTTTGCACTGTATTAGCACTTAATGTTTTTAGCCACAAACAGCACTTTGTTCTACGTTCTATTTTACAGATGTGGAAAACAGCCTCGGAAAAGCTAACATGGGGCCTAAGGTCACAATAACGGATGAGGCTGGGGCTTGAAAGCCAGAAGTTCAGCCACTGCAGGGGACACCCCTGACTCCTGGGCCTAGCCAGCAGCGGCCCGGCCTCTGTTCTCTTCTCTAGGAGTTTCTTCTCTCCCTCCTGTGGCTGGTGACGGGATTTCCTCCCCTCTCCATCCAGCCTTCAGTCAAAAACATCCAAGGAGGTTAAATACAAGATGTGGGAGCCCAGAACCATTTCTCCTGAGAAGTCCTGTGGCCATCCAACTGTCTCTCCTGTGCCCTTGGCAGACCCCCTGAGAATCCTTTTGCTTCCTCCAGGCCAAATCTTGTGCCACCTAGCACCCTCATGTCCTTAAGCTGAGGAAATGCCAATTCCTTTCCTCAATGGGCCTCTTTTGGCTTGTTCTTCAGACACCCAAGAAGACCAAAAACATCTCTCCTGTGCACGCCCTACCGGAAAAGCTCCATTCCAGCCAGCCTTCAAGAAAACTTCCAGGGATACCACATAGAGCTACTGCTGCCACCCCAAGAGCTCATCCCCAGAGTATACGACGGAGCCAGCCTAGTCATAGGGAGCAGCCTGCCATCAGGCAGGATGAGCCAGCCAGTCAAGCCAGGAGGATGGGGACGTGTCTGGCACGGAGGGATCCAAGCGACAGCTCAAGTCAGAGCCCATCCCAGCAGGGCTGGCAGCTCAGCAGGTCCCTCCACACAGAGGAAGAGCAGGAATTAGTCCCTAGCTGTGGAGGAAGCAGGCGTGGCGGAAAATGGGCAAAGCGCTTGGGTTTAGGACATGGGACACTCTCTCACTGAGGCCATCTTCCAGGCTCAGTGCTTGCTGGCCTTGTCACCCTCCTGGCCCCTCAGCGCACAGTGCACTGTGCTCCCGAGGGCCACCGTTCCTGGTGGGTCAGAGCCTGCGGGACTCAAGGTCCCACAGCACCCAGACACAGGCACCACATGGGGCCCGTGCTCCTCCCCTCCGAGCTCTGTGCCAGTCCCCGACCCACCGAGGGGCCAGCCTTACTTTCCGCTACTGTTGCGGCTCTTCCCTCTCTTGCGGGGGGGCGACAGGGTGCTCGGGGCGTGAGTCCGTTTCCTCGGCCTGCCAGGGCCTCTGCGTGCCAAGCTTCTATGGGGTTCCTCGCGCCTGTCCCTTAAAAAGAATTACACGCTAGGCTGTGAACCTGGGGGTGGACAGGGCGCGGAGAAAGGTACACGATGCGCACACATCACGCGGCTCCACGCACACCTCTGACGGCCTGCAACAGCCGACCTACTGAGCTCCAGCACCTGCCGCTGCCTGATGGGCCCGGCGGGGCAGGGGCCCCATGGAGGTGGGCTGGGGGCAAACTCACTCGCAGTCCCGGCGCCTCTGCAGTTTCACCAGCTCCCGTTGCTTCTCTTTGTACTGCCGTTGCACCTCCGCCAGCCGCATCCGGAAGTCCAGCTCCAGGGCGTCCATGTCCTCCAAAGAGGACTTCATCGCATACATCTGGAGGGGGCACCGGAGAGGAGGGGGATGAGGATGCTGCTGCCCACTGACTCCCACCACCTCACAGGTGTCCCCTCCCAGATGGGGATGTTGAGACTTCACAGCAACACCCAGCTGCAATCCCATCACTATCTCCTAGCCGTGGCCTCGGTGTCATCTGTGCAATAGGGATTTTACTACCAACTCTGTGGGGCTGTGTCAATACTGAATTAGATGCACACGTAACAACTGCCCATTGAGGGGTGATCATGTTGTCATATAAAACAAGAGGCTCTGCTTGCTGGGGCCCCCAGGCAGCCAAAGGCAGAGTCAAGTTGGCCCCCAGGCTGCTCTCTTCCCCAGCCAGCCATCATAGTACTACCATAGGACATGCCTGATAGTTATCACAGGGACAAAATGAAGACCAGAGAAGGGAAACAACTTTCCCAGGACCATACAGCAAGTTGGTGGAGGAAGCTAGATGATGCTGCTCTTTGGCCTTTCTGATGCCCAAGCCAGCCATGTGCCAGGCAAATGGCACCTGTCTCTCCCGGAAAGGCCACAGGCAGGAAGAAAACCCAGATGAGCTCACCCGCTCCTCTTTTTTCTGCATCCAACTGTACTTCTTGTTAGGGTTTAGCTCCCGTGGAAGCCGCAGGTTCTTGAGTGGGTCCACAAAGGGGCCATCCAGCACTTCCTTCAGCATGTGGCTGCCAGCTGCCAGCAGGCTCTCTAGCGAGGGCCGCACCTCCAGGCTATGCTCTGTAGCTATGGAAAGAGGCAGGTGACAGGGTTACATCATAGGAGAAGCTGCTGTGTACCCCTCCAGTGGTCTGAGGGCAGCAGGCATACAGAGACCCAGAGTGAGCACCAGCCCCAGGCCACATGGCCCCCCAAGGTGCTGACTGGGCTGAAGCCTTTGCAAGATACAGGAGATAGTGTGAAGAGAAAAAAACAGGTGAGAACACAAAACACACAGCATGTTTGTTCACAAAGCTTGCTGGTGTGGACAGCAAGGGGAGTCATCAAAGGCCAACGGGTTCTTTCAAGAACTCTCTCTTTTTGCTTATCTGTACTTAAAATTGTCCGTGGTAAATAGGCATGTCTCTCATAATCCAAAAAACAAAGAGCCCAGGGTAAAAGCCACAAACCAAGCAGAAAGCAGGAACCCTCTTGCTCCCCAACACACACAGCCCTCCCTGGGTAGGCCACTATTGGTACAGTTTTTAGTAGATGGTTCTAGATATGTTTATTCATCGTCAAAGACAACATCTTTTATAAAGATAAAAATAGTATTAGTATATATCATCTTTTGTTTTTTTCTGCTTAACATCTTTTCTTATTAGCATATAACCTCATTAGTAGCTTGAACCTTATAAAAATGGCCATTTCTAAAGGTTAAAAACACTAGAATATTGGCAATTTTATATTTTGATATACAGAACTAACAAACAGGAAGCCTAGAATTCTCTTACATTGATAAGTTTTTTTTGGGGTTTTTTTTTTTTTTTTGGCCAGGGCTGGGTTTGAACCCGCCACCTCCAACATATAGGACTGGAGTCCTACCCTTTTGAGCCACAGGTGCCACCCACATTGATAAGTTTTAATTAATCTAAATAATCTCCCATTGCCGGTTACAGTGGCTCATGCCTATAATCTCAGCACTCTGGGAGGCAGAGACGTGTGGATTGCCTGAGCTCACAGGTTCAAGACCAACCTGAGCCAGAGTGAGACTCCATCTCTAAAAAATAGCCAGGTGTTGCAGTGGGCGCCTGTAGTCCCAGCTACTGGGGAGGCTGAGGCAAGGGGATAGCTTGAGCCCAACAGTTTAAGGTTGCTGTAAGCTGCGATGCCACTGCACTCTACCAAGGGTGACAAAGCAAGACTCTGTCTCTAAAAAAAAAAAAAAAAAAAATCTCCTATTGATGGCATCAGGGTGTTTGTGATTTTTTTTGTTACAGACTAGCAAGCACACAGCCAGGACATGTGTATTAGGAACACTCCTACCAGTGTGAGTAATGTGATCAAGGTGTGTGCGGGCATCTCTCTGATAAACATTCCAACTGCCCTCCAGAAAGACTGTTCTAACCATAATAAAGGAGACCTTGTTTTGGTCTCTACCAAATTAAAACATGTTTTAAATTTTTAGCTGACATTTTCTTTGTGATCTAAAATGTAGTTCTTATGAGTATTCCATGTGTGCTTGAGAAAAAAAAAATTTATTTTCTCCTCAATGTACTGAGTTCCAGAAAATCACCATCAGTAATTACACTGCTTTCAGCTTCTCTGCCATGGGCCACACTGTGGGTCAGACCCTGCTGTTTGGGGCTGTCCTCCATCCACAGAATGTCAGTAGTGTCCCTGCCTTACCCACTAGATGTCAGCAGCACTCCCCTCAAGCTCTGACAACCAAAAATGTTATTGCTTATGGCCTTGGTTGAGAATCACCCATTTTTCTCTTCTACATTCTTAGGGAAACTGAGGCCACAAAGGAGCAAAACTTTCAGCTCCAGGCACTGATTATTTAGACTGAAGCCATCTGGCCCACGCCAAAGTGCTGCCTCTGTGCCACCCTACCCCTTCAACATCCTCCAAGACAGGTGGAGGTGTTGGGTAAGGCAGGAGAACCAAGGTACAACTCTGTCACCTCTTTCACCTTCCAAGAAACCGGTCTTGCTGAGGCTTTCAACTGACGGGCAGGAGACATCTGAGTGACCTCTAAGCCAGCAGTTATAGGTTCAGTTGTTTCTCTACCAATTTAATATGTTGGGCCCTAATGTGGTGTCCTCATAGGAAGGAAACTGAAAACACTCACAAAAAGACACAGACAAACACTGTCCACACGCCCAGGAGAGAGCTGGAGGTGATCCCCTCATAGCCTCAGCAGAAACCAACCCTACGAACACCCTCATCTCAGAAATTCTCATCTCCAAAAATGAGAGACAATAAACTTCTTATTTAAGCCCAGTGTCTGGTAATTTGTCTTATTTAAGCCCAGTGTGTTCTTTTAAGCTCAGTGTCTGGTAATTTGTCCCAGCAGCCCCAACAAACCAACACACCAGGCTTTAGAGGTGACCCAGAGGACTGTGGTGACACTGAGTCAGGAGCCAGTTCTCCATTGAAACCTCAGGTAGGCCAGGCCTCAGTGCACAGGTAGCATTAAAATCCTGACCACAGGGCCCTCCCTCCCAGCTGCCTTCTGGCTTCTCTTCAGTCCCCACTAAAAACGCCCACTAGGTGGGAGCTGATAATCAAGGGAATTTTCATTTTCTTCTAGAAAAAAGATTTTTTTTCTGTTCAACTATTTTAATGAGAGAAAGGCAATGATATACTTTAGCACAACAACAAAACACATGCCAAGTGGAAAAGTGGGCGTCTCTTGCACAGGCCAATTAGAGCAGGGCTTGTTCAAGTTTCCTTGGGGGGCCATTTGAGCAGGGCAATCAAAAAGCCTTGAAAATGTGGCCTTGTTTTAACCCAACAGTTCCTCCTCTGGGACAATAATCCTGCGGAAATCAGAGGTATGGACAAAGACTTTTCTCAAGGACAACTATCATGTTATTTGCAAAAGAAAAAAAACATTTTAAGGCAAACAAAAATGCCTAACAATCTTGGATTGAGTCCTCTAAGGGCAAGGCCCCCATGGGGCAAAAATACTGAGTAGTCTCCCAAAAAATGCTTTTTAAAAACCACAGCTTTGAAAAATGATGAATAAAGAACACTATTTACATGATTACCTTAATTCTAGAAGTAAATATATGTACGAGGTCTGACAAGTTTGTGAATTCATCCCAGAAAAAGTGCTACATACCTCATAGTCTCATTACTATGGGTCACCTGCAAAGTACTCTCCTTGGGAAGCTATGCACCAAGCCAGAGGCGCTTAGTGTACCCTTCAAAACATTTCTAGGATGAGTTTGCAAACTTAATTGTCAGACCACGTATGGGCGTGTATAGAAAGTTCTAGAGAGGAAATACACTCAAATCTGCTGAGGATGTTATCTCCTCAGCAGCTGTCCCCTGGGCCCTTCCTCCATTCCAGGCCGTGCATGGGGTAGTGGGAACATCTGCCTGCGGTGGTTTTCTACACTGAACATCAGTTGTTTTGTGCTCAGCCCAGAATTCACTGCCTCTTCTGCTAAAGGCATGCTATTCTACTTACTTGAGGATCCTCCCCCCCAACTCTACAGCATGGAGGTGACACACCCCTGATTGAAGGCTATGCGTGATCAGCCTGATCCATCTACCTAGGAGCAGGGTTTGCCGCTACAAAAAGCATTAATCTTAGTCAGCCAAAGAGAGCGAATCTCAGCATTTTTGCCAAAGCCAAAAGAAAGAGTAACCTCCTTCATGAGGTTGCTGACCTGAGCAGGCCCACTGGCCTTGGAGGAATTGTTGGAGCCTCCCTTGCCCCATAAGGACAGTGAGCCTGCCTTGAATGAAGCCAACAGAGAGAAAAGTAGAAGAGGGAGAGGAGGGAGAGAGAGACTGGGGTAAGGGGTGGTATAGGAAAAGAGAAACTCATACTGACTTGGTTTGGGAGCCTACATCCAGCCATACCTGAAATTAGTGCTCAACATCGCTTGCATGAATCAATAAATTCCCTCCTACCTTGTCCTAAGCCAGTTTAAATAAGAATTTCTGTCACTTGCAACCTAAAGAATCCTGCTAATATAAAACACATCACTAATGGAATGAAGAGAAATCTCACCACCAGGAAAGAGAATGTCTGCATAACCATGTGAGTGTACTTAATGCTGTTCAACTAAACCCTTAAGAACAGTCAAGATGTTGTATGTTGTTACATGTACCTTAACCATAATTTTTTTTTTTTTTTTGAGACAGAGCCTCAAGCTGTCCCCCTTGGTAGAGTGCCGTGGCATCACAGCTCACAGCAACCTCCAATTCCTGGGCTCAAGCGAGTCTCCTGCCTCCGCCTCCCAAGTAGCTGGGACCACAGGCGCCCGCCACAACACCCGGCCATTTTTTGGTTGCAACCATCATTGTTGTTTGGCGGGTCCAGGCTGGGGATTCGAACCCGCCACCTTAGGTGTACGTGGCTGGCGCCTTAGCCGGTTGAGCTATAGGTGCCGCGTCAACCATAATTTTTCTTAATGAAAATGAATAAACCACATTCTGGGATTTTCTTTAAAATCTTTAAAAAATAAAATTTATGGCAGGGTGCCCATAGCTCAGGGGTTAGAGGGCCAGCGCTGTGCACCAGGAGTTGTGGGTTTGAACCTGGCCCAGGTCTGCTTCACAAAAAATTAATTAATTAATTAATTTTTAAAAAGAGAGAACTGGACTGAACACTCACCTCCCACATCCTGACCCCTCCTCTCTAGCTCCAGTTCTGCAATCTCACTCAGCAGCGTGATGCCATGCAGGAAACTCTTCTCCAAGACAAGCCCCTGAGCCACTTCCAGCTTCTCTGAGGCCTGGGTTCCAGCATCAGGGGAGGGCAGAGGCCTGGCCTGGGGAAGCTCTGCGGCCGCTGCCAGGGCATGCATGCCGGCCAGTGGGTCCTCCAGGCCGGGCAGATCACAGCTTGCCTCTTCCAGGTAGCAGGCACTGCTGGGCACAGGCGCATCCTCCTGGGGCTCTAGGCTAGGGCACTGTCCCTCCCTGGTGGGCATGTCACAGTCTGATAATTCTAGGCCAGGCCGGGGCTCACTTGGGGCCACCTGCACCAAGCCTTCCTCAGGCATTGCCTCAGCCACAGGCACCTCCACAGGCTCCTCCTTGGCCTCTACCAGTGTCTCAGGTGTCAGCCGCCCCACCAGGTCTATAGCAGCTGTGCAGGATTCTGTCCGGCCAGGAGAGTCCACCTGAGCTTCAACCCCCTCTGTGAAGTCTGGGCACTCAGAGGGCTCAGTGCACCCCTGCCCAGCAGTGCTCAGCCCCTGGACCTCCAGGAGACCTCCTCCACAGCCACCTGCGGGGCTTGGAGCCACCATGGCTTCCTCGGTAGGCAGGGCTAGCGGTGATTCCAGGGGCGGCAGCTCTGCAGGGCCCTCGTCCATGTCCTCCACCTCTGCTTTCACCTCTCGGTCAGCCAATGGCTCTTCCTCTGGGGCTTCCTGCAGTGACTCTGGGATCTTAGAAGGTGACAAACGGATGGGCTTGTCTTCAGGTGAGAGCGCCAGGCGTTCAGGCCCATCAGCTGGGAGTGGCACATCAGGGGCTAGGCCATCTGCATCAGCGGCTGCCGTGGGCTGCAGCAAAAACGGGTAGGGCCTTCCATAGTGTGGCGGCAGGGCTTGAAACGGGTACCTGGATGGGATCTCTGCAAAAGACACCAATGTCAGCGTGGGAGTCCCAGGGGGCTGATATCCTGTATCCCTACCAATACCCACTGGCCACCTAGGACATAGACTCGGGACACAGCCAGCCTCTGCCTGAGCAGCAGCAGGGCTGGGAGCTCTTCCAGGTGGGATCTGAGAAATCCCAGGGCACTCTGCACAGCTGGGCCACAGAGAGAAAAATTGGCCATCATCTTGTCCCCAGGGTCTTATGGTCTCAAAGGCAAAAACCATAGCTGTGTCTCTCATCCCTCCCACTCACACCTAGCGCAAGGCTGGGCCATGAGTAAATGCTTAATAAAGTCTGTGAAGAACCAAAACAGTCCTTGCTGAGCCCATGCGTTCTCAGTTTTCCATCCCCAAGAATGTGCTGTCCCCCTCAGCAGTAAAGCAACTATTCTTGTGTCCCAAGTGCAAACTCCCTAAGAGTAGGGGCTGTAGGCAGAGGAGCCCACCTGGGATGCACCTTACCCAAGCATCTCACCAAATTTCCCCAGAAAGGGGCAGTTATTGACCTGAGTTCAAGAAGCACTAGTGCCAGAATCTGAATTTGAACCCAAATCCTAAGTGCAAGCTTCACACTCATAGTAGCCCCGGGGAAAGGAGAACACAAGCCCCAGCCCTCAAAGCCACCTACTTCAAGTACCCACTGACATGGAGCACAGGAAGAGCACATGTTGTGTATGCAACACGTGTGGTGGGGAGACGCTGCACACAACAGATGTCCCTGGCCTATTACCTCCAGGTGCTAACTTAGTACAGGTCTGGCTTGGCTGAATGTCCGAACAACTTCTTCTGGAGCAGGTTCTAATATGACACTGCCACTGAGGCAGGGCTGGAAGAGACTGTGCCTTACTGCACCTGGGCCTCCATCCAGAGTCCGGAAGTGGACCTGGCACATTGCAGGTGCTCAGTAGAGACTAATGAACACACGAATAACTGGGCAAAAAGGGACCAGATCCTCCACACCAGAGCTGACTAGGGTTTGAGCAGACCCAAAGGATACAGCCACACCCACCTGAGAAGAGGGTCTGGAAGGGGCTGGGGGATTCCTTTTCCAGCTCCAGGTCCTTCTTCTCGACAACATTCTCAGGGGCCTCCTCCTTGCGGGTGATGCCAGGAGTAGGCGGTGGGGAGGCAGGCGGTGGGCTGGTGGGGTGGGCACTGGGGGTGGCAGGGTAAGCATAGGCTGGCGGCTTAGACACGTCCTCCAGCTTCTGGATGACTTTGGCCTTCAGGGCAGCCACAGGGGATGCTCGGGGAGATGGTGGTGGGCTCACAGCCTTGCTGTAGGTGCCTGTGGGGCCAGCAGATAAGCCAGGGGGCTTCCGAGGCAGCAGCCCTGGGCCCGTCGCGGCCAAGCCAGCCTTGCCTGTGGCCTCCAAGTTCCGCTTGCCTGCCTTCTCCTCCATGTCCGTCCGGTGCTCTTGGGCTTTCAGTCGCTCCTGCTGGAGAGGAGGCCAAAGGGAGGGTCAGTGTGGCACAGGCCACCACCCAGCACCTGCCCTGTCCCCAGGGTCCCTCAGCCTGGGGAGAACCTCAGGCAGCATCCAGGGTCCAGGCCACCATCCCCTCCCAGGCCTGAGATGGACATTCCATCCCAGCACACATGTAACAACTACAGCATTCCATGCAGAACCTCCCCCCCACCCCCACCAAGAAGCAGGGCTGGGGGTGGGGAGCCTCAGTGGGCTCCTTCAGAACAAGGCTAGAGGGGTCCCTGCAGGGACCCTCACAGACAGGGCACAGAGGCCAAGTGCAAGAGATGTGGGAATGAGGACTCCAGAAGATGCAAGAGCTGCCCCACATCCAGCCCTGGCTGCCTCCATGGAGTGCTCACAACCTCTGAATGCCTTCCTGCATCATCACTTCCAGGTCTCAAAACACCTCAAGGGGGAGCTGAAGGAACCCGTTCCTGACTTTGATGAGGAAATAGGATAGAACCAGTTCCATTGACAGCCAGTGCACAAAACATACTGGGAAATGCCCCAGGACAAGCTGCTTGCACAGTTACTAACACCCCAATAGTTGGGGGGTTACCCCTATCTCCTAGAGAGTTCGCTGAAGTCACCGGCCCAAGAGCCACAGCCAGACCAGGCAGAGAAAATTCAGACCCAGGGCTCGGGCTCAGGCTCAGGTGCTTGCTGCAGCTGCTCCCGAGGCTGACTTCTTAGGAGGAGACAGTGCTAAGCAAAGGACAGGCATTCTAGAACACCTTCAGAGAGACAGGATGACTCTGGACTTTCCGAGTCCAGCCATATACAAAGCACCCTGTCTCCTATCTCATGCATGTAGGCCACTTAGGCTGCAGAGGCAGCCGGCCAGGCCTCCCTGTGCCTGTCGAGGGGCTGCCTGGAGGGAAAACGCCACACTGGGTTCTGGCAGCAGCAGGAGTCACAGAGACTCCATCAGCAACCATTCCAAACTTCCGCAGTCCACAAGGTGATCTCTCTGCCTTGATTTCCCCACTGTTCCCTGTCTACCCAAGTTCCATCCACCTCAGGGCTTTTGCTTACAATGTTTCCTTTGCCTAGAGAGCTCTTCCACGGCCGCCTCCTTCACATCTCCACTCAAATGGCCTCCTCTAAGCCCACCCTGACCACCCACCTCTACCTTTGGCTTCACCTGTAACAGTTCAGCATTTTTGCTGGTTGACTTTTCTGCCTCATCAACAGTGGGGACTTCGGGGGGTCCACCTTGTCCCCAAAACTCACCACCAACTGGGCGCTCCTCTGCAGCTCCAGGGCCTGGGCTGCCTGCTGCTGCAGGTACAGGAGTTCCTGCTGCCGCAAGAAGTGTTGCTGGGAGAAGAGCTGCAGCTGCTGTGCATGGTGCAGGGGGCTGCGGCCCGGCGGGTATAGGGCAGGCCAGAGGGGCGGCACTGCAGCCCGCTCCATCAGCTCCGCTGGGGAGAACAGACAGGGCTACACCTGCTTCCCAACTCCCACTATCCGTCATACATGGGGAAGCAGAGGCCCAGGAGGGCACCTACATAGTTCTGCTGGGGGCAGGGGACTGTCCCCCTCCACTTGCCAGATGTACATGCAGCTCAAACCCCAGGACACAGCCCCATACACATCCCAGACCGCATAGCTAGAGCAGGCCAACATGTGGGCTTGTACTAGGGTCACCATGGGACTCAATGCCTTCTCCCACTCCCCCTAGTGATCTGCAAAGTAGATTCTTTTTTTTTTTTTTTTTTTTGAGGCGGAGCCTCAAGCTATCCCCCCCTGGGTAGAGTGCCATGGCATTATAGCTCACAACAACCTCCAACTCCTGGGCTCAAGCGAGTCTCCTGCCTCAGCCTCCCAAGTAGCTGGGACTACAGGCGCCCACCACAACGCCCGGCCAATTTTTTTTTTTGGTTGCAGCCATCATTGTTGTTTGGCAGGCCCGGGCTGGGGATTTGAACCCGCCACCTTAGGTGTATGTGGCTGGCGCCTTAGCCAATTGAGCCACAGGCGCTGAGCCTGCAAAGTAGATTCTTATAGGGATAAGGGCCCCATAAGGGGCTCCAAGCCCCCATCCAGGTTGCCCAGCTCTGGTTTCCAAGGGAAGAGTTCATTGAAATAAGAACTCCAGGGCTTTAAAATACCTGGAAACCGCTGACATCAGGGCATTCTCTCTGAATCCCGGTTTACCTCCCACCTCTGTTTTCTGATGGGCTGCCCACCCCCCAGTAGGAGGCCCCGCCTACCACACAGGGAGGTCCACTTACCAAAGTGAGGCAGGTGATCACTAGGAATGACCACCAGTTGGCCCGACTGGGGATCCCTGACAAATTGGTAGGCTGATGGCAGGGAGCCCCCCAAGCCAGGTGGGAATGCAGGGGCCATGCCCTGGTGCAGAGAGGGAGGGCCCAAGCCTAAGGGGAGAAACCCAGTCCCATGTCAGTGCTAGGAAGCCCCAGACTATTTGTCCAAGGGAAGCCCAAGGACCAGCACCAACCTCCTGTCCCTGAATCTCTCAGGGGATCCAGGGAGGGTAGGGGCCAAGGGCAGAGGGGTGATGGCGGGCTAGAAATAGGCTCCCAGAGCCACCCCACTGGGTGCCTGCCCCACAAGAGCATGGCAGAGGGCCAGAGAGGCAGGTGCCATTGTAATTTGCCTCTTTGGACAAATGAGGGAAATGAAGGCCCAGTCTCCAGCCAAGGGCAGACAGCAGCCAGTTCTAAGCCCCCATCCTGCCCTCAGCCAGCTCCCCACCCTGCCCCTTCCCCAAGGGGAGAGAAGTTCCCCACCCTACACTCACCATAGGGGTGTCCAGCAAGCCACATGGATGTGCTGCCTGAGCGGGGCAACCAGGGGTGTGTGGCCAGGTGGGCTGCAGGGTCAGCAGACCAACGACCTGAGCCCGCCAGCGCCGGACCCCCAGTTACCATGAGGTTGGGGTTTAGGCCATTAGGAGCACAGCTAGTGGGGTGTAAGCGGGCCAAGTCAGCCAGTTCCTTGCTTTCCCTGGAAGGAAGAACAGAAGCATCATGACGACTCTGAAAGCCCAGGGGATGGACAAGACAGAGAACGTGGGGGTCACTCAAGTAACCAGCAAATGCCAGGTCATAACAAAGGACAAACCCAAGAAAGATGGATGGGCAGAAGGGCCCCCAAAGTGGGTCCCACACTTAGCCCCAAAGCTGAAGAGCAGAGTTCTGGACCAGGGAGCTTCACCTCTCAGGACTGAGACATAGGCCCTCCTCCCCCAGGGTCCCTAGGCCACCCCTGCCCTCACCGGAGCAGTTTCTCTTGGTCCCGGTCCAGCCGTGCCCCAAGCAGCCGTTCTTCCCGGTGCCTGGCCCTTTCATCTGCACAGTCCTCATCTGCTCGACCATGCCCTGCAGGGGTGGTGGGAAGCAGGTAGACATGAGCCCCCAGCCAGCACTCCCCCCACATCTACGGCCTCCCTGGGCCCCTCAGAGTCCAAATAGGTTCTACGGGTACCAAACAGTTCCTATGCCCCATCATTTCTTCATGACCCACAAGTTCCGTCCAAACCCTGCTTAGGGTCCATCACTCCTTACCCCTAACAAGCCTGTTTCTGTCACCTATACAGACAACTGTGGCCATAATTAGACCAACACCCTTGAGTGTTATCAGAAAATGTCATAAAAAGTATCACATAGCAATAAAACGTGAGGCCAAGAGCACATAATAAGGCAGATCCCAGGGTATGGTTTGCGAGGATAAGTGGAATCCAGATGGAGGGAGATCACAGCCCAAAAAAGTACCCAGAAGCACAGCCAGACCTGAGTCACCATTATTCCCACTCCACTGTTCTATCTGTCCCAACACAGTATTTTTTAAAAAGCAAGATAGAGAAGAAAAACAAAAAGCACTATCCACTTGGGGGACAGTGCCCATAGCCTTCAGAATGGGAGATGCCACCCAGCTGCCACCTTAACAAATGCAACAGGCAGGTCCTAAGCACCAGCCCTGGAGCAGAGGAAGAGCAGGGGCTATGGAGGGCATCATTTGTCCCCTGTCCCTCCTCATCTCTGTGCCTGCCCTGGCCTCTCGTTCTGGACGTTCACACAATGAGCCAGAGATCAGTACCTGTCAGGCAGGCACAGACACGGGCACAAGGGGTAGCCAGCCATTGGTGGGAGAAACCACATGTGTGTGTCTGGGAAATCTACTCATCAGCTCCAGGTGCCACTGGAAGAGGCTTGGTCTGGCTGGGGCTGACACCTTCTCACACACACCTCCCCCGCCAGGGTACTATGAGCAAACACCTGCAGCTACACTTTGGCCTCCAAAACCTAGCCTGGCACCAGTGGTCCTCGGGGCTCAGCCCCCCAGCAGAGACATTGCTACTCTGCTGAAGATAAAGACCCTGGCCAGAGTCCCTGTGGGGTTTACAGCAGTCCCAAGTTCGTGACATCATGGGTAAGGCTCCCCTGTGGAATGCTGCAGCCAAGTGTCTCCCCATCTTCATTCTCCCTTCCTATATCCCCAAAACCAGGAGCTCCTAAAGAGCAGTGCCCAGGAGAGGCTCAGGGATGTGGAGTTTCTCCCTTTCCCTTTAGGAAGGTGGGATCTGCCCAGATCCCCAATGGGGCAAGTGTGCCAGTGAATTTCCAGGAAGCCCGACACAGGGATGGCCTATACTGATACAGGCGGCTGGACATGGGCCTCAGAGGTGGACCCAGGACAAATGGGCATCTCAGTGTACCCTGAAGCAGAAAGGAAGGTTCCCAGCAGAGAGGGAGCCCATATGTCTTCTTGACTCCCCATCTTCCCCACCCAAAGCCCCCACAGGCAAATCTGGGGCGAGGCACATCCCTGGCCACCTGCAAAGTTACATCCTATAGGCCATCATTGACAGAGGAACTGAGCAGATACCTTAGCTGAGCCAACTCAAGGCATTTGGGGGAGGCCCAGTCAGACCCCTGGCCACCCACATCAACCCCTATCAAAGCAGAGCTTGAGTCCACTCCCCACCCTTCAACAGGAATATGAAAGGCCCTGTTTGTGGACCCCAGGGGAAAACTGAGGCCCAGAAGGGCAGCAATGGGCTGAGGCACAAGAGGGCCCTCCAGAGTCCCACCACCGTGCTAAAACATCAGGGTATGTGCTCAAGCTTCCTTGTCCCATGGGAGATGACTGCCTGGCTGAATCCCCAGGGTTCAGCCACCTGAAGTGCCACCCTCATGCCCACTGGGCCCTCCTGCAAGCTAGATTGGTCTTTGAGCATGATGCTCCTGGTGCTCCATGGTCCCAGGAGCTTCCCTTCCCAGATGCCATCTGCACCAGAAACTTATCTGCTGGCTGCCACATCTCAGGACACCTGTTCTCCCCATGTCCACTAAGGCCAGAGCCCCATGCTGCTCCAGGCAAGTTCAGTTGGTCTTTTGAAGAAACATGACATGCCCTCCATATCTCACCCCTGCACTTGGCTGGGAGCCAGCTCAACCGTCCTCATTCTGTGGTGTCCTGTCCCCTGTAATCCCCACTCCCACCTGTTGCCCCACAGAGCCAAGCTGACCTGGAGTATGCTCTCAGCTTGTGTGTATGCCAGTCACACTCATCCCTCCATTCCCTGCCTTAGGGCCACCCAAAGTGCCCTTCCCCTGGGCTACTCAACCTCCCCCATCAGAATTCAGCTTCAAATGCTATTTGCTCCAGGAAGTCTTCCCTGACCATCTGTCCTCTGTCACACTACTCTGTTTATCTCCCTGATAGCACTGACCACAATGTGCAGCTCTCTGCTAACTATTCACTGTCTGTCTCCTTCATCAAACTGCACTGCTCTGGTTCTCATAACCCCATCATGGCTATCCACCTGCCTCCTCCTGGATGCCTGGTAGAAAGGAGGTACCCAATACACATAGTGGACGGGCGAATGAATGGACTCTAGATGAAGAGTGAGCGGCACAGAGGGAATGGCACCTGCAAAGGTCCCGAGGCGGGGGAGTGCTAAGGAGTAGTCCCTTGGCAAAAGTCTCCCCCACGCTCATCACTAGCAGCAACTACTCCATTATATATCACATCCTGCACATCATGGCCACTAAGTGCCCAAGGCTGCAGGAGGCCATAGTGGCTGCAAAGAGCAGGCCAAAGACAGCTCTGGAAATGAGGTCACATGGCATGCATAGATTTTTTTTTAAGGGGAGAGGGGAAGCCATCAGGAGCTCTCGGCAGGGTCTCAGCATGATCTGCAGAGGTTTTGAAAATGCTCCTCTGGCCACCCAGGAACAAGTGAACAAGTACTCGCCTCCCTTCTGTGCTGAGCTTCCATGTGGGGATCAGGTGAACACACGCAGTGCTCCCATAAGAGCTCTCAACCCAGCAAGGGGAACAGCTCCTCTGAGGTACACAAGACAGAGGGCTAGCCCACTCTGAGATCCTAGAAACACAAGACCCCAAGCCAGCCCCTTAGCAAGAACTATGGACACAGACACTTAAAAGCTGCCTCTGTGGCTTGGCACCTGTGGCTCAAGTGGCTAAGGCGCCAGCCACATGCACCTAAGGTGGCGGGTTCAAATCCAGCCCAGGCCTGCCAAATAACAATGATGGCTGCAACCAAAAAATAGCCGGGTGTTGCGGTGGGCGCCTGTGGTCCCAGCTACTTGGGAGTCAGAGGCAGGAGATTCGCTTGAGCCCAGGAGTTGGAGGTTGCTGTGAGCTGTGATGCCATGACACTCTAGCCAGGGGGACAGCTTAAGGCTCTGTCTCAAAAAAAAAAAAAAAGCTGCCTCTGTACCAACAAGGGCCTAGGTCCTCCACCCACAGGAACTCATTCAACACCTTCAGCCTGAAGGCAGGTCCCCAGAGGAGAAACTGAGGCTCAGGGAGATAGAACTATGCCCAGGTCACAAGGCTAACAAGGAAGCATCACAGCTGGGATCAGGGTGGGTCTTCCTGACTGAGGTTCATGGCCCCATGCAGAGAACCAGCACAGGGTGGTGCCAGCGGTACAGGGTAGGCATTGGGGTGCAGGGCCCTTTCTAGCAATATCCTTGACAGCCCCATTGTAGGCCTGTCCAGTAGCCCAGCCCCACACCAGGACCCACAGGGGTAAGACAGTCCCTTGTCAAAAGTCTCCCCCACACTGGTCATTGGCAGCAACTGCCCCTTCATGCATCACATCCTGCACATCATGGCCACTAAGTGCCCAAGGCTCAGGCTGGAGGCCCTGTTCCCATGGCAACCACCTTCGGGACTCCATCTGATTAGCCCAGTAGATGCAGCTACCGAGACTCAAGCTGATACATCATCAACACACAGCTTATACCTGGCTCTGCCCTACCCAGCTGGCCCCAGGCCATGAGGACACCCTCTCAGCCCTTCCACCCAGAGCTGATCCCAGCCTAACTCTGCCACAGACATCAGAGGCATATGGGAAGTGGAAAGAAGAGATGGGCTTCAGCTCAGGGTTCCTGCTCAGCCCTGCCTTGCCTCTACAGGCCTTAGTCTTCCCCTTTGTGAATAGGCAGAGTAACAGTCTCCCTCTGCAGGAACCTAGGCAACAAAAGCCAGTCCTTCTGGGGTTGCTGGCATGTGGCAGCCACTGGCTAAATGGCAACAATTGCTCTTATCTGCTGGACTTCTTGGGCACAGGGGACCAATGTCGTGGGGTTCATAGGTGTAGGTGATGCCTGCCTTAGTCCATCTCAAAATCCAAGATTCCCTGAGGCCAGACCTGGATCCTACGTGACTATCTCGGAAGCAGACCTGGGGCTTGTAGACACTGCCAGACGCCTGAATAGGAGCGGATAAAAGAAAGTCCTATTTATGAAGCACCTAAAGCGTGCCTGCCAGCCCAATTGGCATCAAGCAAATGAGATGACCCAGGCCCCAAAAGGCTCAAGGCTCTCGGTCAAGGTCACACAGCTACAAGGGGCAGAGCCAGGATCTGAATCCATTGACAGAGGCAGAAGGTTCACTCCAAAAAGAAAGAAGCGGGGCCAAGACCCCAGGATACCAAGATTGACAACCATCTAATGAGCCAGTGGGCCAGATGGCTTGTCCCAGAGCCTCTAGCTCCTCCCCAAGAGTCTCTTCTTCTTCTTTTTTTTTTTAAACAGAGTCTCGCTCTGTTGTGTATACTAAAGTGCAATGGCATCAGCCTAACTCACAGCAACCTCAAATTCCTGGCTTCAGTGATCCTCCTGCATGTCTCCAGAGTAGTTGGGACTATAGGCACCTGCCATAATGCCCAGCTAATTTTTTCTATTTTTAGTAGAAACGGGGGTCTCGCTTTTGCCCAGGCTTGTCTCCAACTCCTGAGCTCAAGGGATCCTCCTGCATTAGCCTCCAGAGTGCTAGGATTATAGGAGTTGTGAGGCACTGAGCCCAGCCTTCTTTCCCTCTGGAGAGGCTAGGCTGCCTGGAGAAAAGCCACCACTTCTTACAGGTTTTTTTTGTTTTGTTTTGTTTTGAGACAGAGTCTCACTATGTCACCCTTGGTAATGTGCCATGGCGTCACAGTTCACAGCAACCTCAAACTCTTGGGATTAAGCCTCCCAAGTAGCTGAGACTACAGGTGCCCGCCACAACATCTGACTATTTTTTGTTGCAGTTGTCATTGTTGTTTAGTTGGCCTGGGCTGGGTTCGAACCCGCCACCCTCGGTGTATGTGGCTGGTGACGTAACCACTGTGCTACAGGTGCTGAGCCGTTATAGGATTTTTTTAAGGAGAAAAAAGAATCTAGATGCCTACTCCACAACCCTTAGCACCAACGGAGAAAGACAGCTTCAGACAAACCCCTGAACATCACATCTCAAAACTTCTACCACACCCTCCCTCCCTTCTTCTCATGTTCTCTTGAACATAACCTAACCCCTCCTGAAGGGCAGAAGGCTAGGCGCAGTGCCTCACACCTGTTCTTTCTCTTTTATGCATATACACAAACATATACATTCATTCATGGCTTCCTGGGCACAGGTCCCTCAGGCACAGGCCAAATACTCTGGGCTCTAGATGGGCTTTGGGAACCCCCAAAAATGTGCCATCATGTCACAGGAGCATCCTCCCAGAGAAAAGGTTTGAAGAGATCTGCTTCCCAGGGGGACCCACAGTTCCAGATCCCTAAGCAAGAGGGTCTGTCACCACCAAACCAGCCACCTATAGTCTAAGGGCTGCCCATGTCTTCTATCCCATCCCACCCCCAGGGTCAGAGGGCAGGGCTTCTCTGGCTCCAAAGGAAGACTTCCCTGGCTCCAAACATTCCCTAAGCATCACTCACTCTGAGCCAGCTATGCTGGATGAAAAGAATTCTAAGACCAGAGAGAGCCTCACCTCCTAATTCAAAATCCCAAGACTCCTAGTCTGCTCCAAAGATGAAATGACACCTGTAACTTAGCTGGAGACAGCTCATGTCAAAGGTGGCTCAAAGAGCAGGTGATACTGGGCCCTGGGATGAGAAGACATGGTGTGTAGGAGTAGGTAGAGTGCTGCAGGTAGAAGGAAGGTGTGGTACCAGATCCCCCCAGACTGTCTGGGGCAATGGGTTGGTATGAAAACATTACTAGGAGATGCCATCTAGAGTGACTGAAACCCAGGCCCCTATCCCTGAGGGCAATACAGGACAACAGAGAGGGGCATTCAGATGGTCCTATGTAGACCCACAGAGTGCACACACATTAGTACAGCAGCCTGTACCTTCCTGGACTCATCTGGGAGAAGAACAGCTGGACCAAGCCGTGACAGGAGCAGCAATGTTGCTCCCTGTGGACCAAGGATGAAATCCAGGGAGGCACCGGGAGAGGAGGCAGGGGGACACCAGGCCAAGGGGTAGTGGAGACCCAGCCTATGCAGTAAAGTCTGGGAGATGCAGAGAGGAGGGCTTTGTGAGTGCCACAGGCAGGGACCCAGACAGAGGGCCAAGTGGGAGCCTACAGAAGATAAGTGTGGGGCACAGGGTAGAAGCTGACTATTGAGAGGTCCCAGAGGCAAGGAGCAGCTGGATGTGGCATTCCCAAGCCCTCATCAGGCACACTAAACATGACCTCAGTTGGCTCAGCAATATGCCATCTTCTAGGCTGACCAGGCAAGAAGCTCCAACAAACAAACTTTAAGTATCAACTCTCCAAAATCCCAGGAGGCATCTCAACAGTAAAATGTACAAGAGACATGAAAAAATGCAACCAACTTATCAAATTCTGGAAAAATATTCAAACCTCACCAGTAACTAAAAGAAATGTATCATTCTTTCCTACCTAAATTAGCAATGATCTTTTTTTAAATATTGAAACAAAATTCTAAGGAATGTAAAGTAAAACATAAAATGCACAAACCATTAACAGGCACTTAACATGTCGAACTAATTACCTAAGGCAGCACTTAGGAACTGAATGTCAGGATCCTTCCAGCACTCACTCATCCACTCATTTGTCAAACACCTACTATGCAGTCCCACACTGACCTTACCAAAATAGGTAAGGCAACAGTCACCTCCCTGAACAACATGGGATTGAAAGTTTAATGTGTGTTTATTCCCAAGAATCTCTATTCTTAGAAAATGACTCAAATTATCACAAGGGCACAATGCACAAAAATATTCAATGCAATACTTTGAACACAAAACTTCAGAGAGAGGGGAAACACTGAAATGCCCACCAAGGGAACATAGAACTCAACTATGGTATACGCCCTCAACAGAATATTAAAGGCCATAAAGGCTCAGCGCCTATAGCTCAACTGGCTAAGGCGCCAGCCACGTACACCTAAGGTGGTGGGTTCGAATCCCCAGCCCGGACCCGCCAAACAACAATGACGGCTGCAACCAAAAAAAAAAATAGCCGGGCGTTGTGGCGGGCGCCTGTGGTCCCAGCTACTTGGGAGGCTGAGGCAGGAGACTCGCTTGAGCCCAGGAGTTGGAGGTTGCTGTGAGCTGTAATGCCACGGCACTCTACCCAGGGGGACAGCTTGAGGCTCTGTCTCAAAAAAAAAAAAAAAGCCATAAAAAAAAATGATACTTATAAATAGTCTACAATATTACCAGGGAAAACGACCCACACTGTAGTATGTGAACCACGCAAAAGCCCAAGATGTTACATTCACTAAGATCTCTGCAGGTAGAAGCAAATTGCACAGGAAAATGAATTCAGGGGAAGATACAAAAGTGTTCAGGGTATTGGGAAAAAATAATGGTCTTTTTTCTTCATTTTCCTTTCCTGCATTTTCCACATTTTTCTATGTGCATAATAGAAGTAGCAATAAACTTTCAACAGCAGCTGCAGCCCAAAAGTGGGATAAAGGACCAGTGGCACTCAGAATGAAGGGAGAGGTGACAGTGCCAAGGAAGGAGGGCAGGAATCAGGGAGAAATGGAGAGTGGAGGTGGGAGGGTGAGGAAGAAGGGGGGCCAGGACCTACCTTTAACATTGCTCAATGACAGAGAACGTTCCTGTTCTGCCAGCCCAGGCCCCAGCCGGCCACTGCCACCACTGTCTTTCTGCCGGGCAACAGCCACCGCAATGCCCACTGGCGGGTGTCGAACTTCTGCCTCACCCTGGGCACCAGAGCCCTCCCGCCCGAAGGCCTTGGCACTCTCAGGCCTCTCCGGGTCCCGCTTCAGCTGCCGGCCCCCACTTGCTGCAGGGACTCCAGGGTGCGGCAGACGGGCCTGAGCACGGGGGACACCCGCAGTAGTGGGGACCGGCTCAGGTTTCATGGTGCCCAGGCCTCCAAATGGACTCTTCTTGCCGCAGCCACCAGGGCGCACAGCAACTGCCTCCCGGGCGAAGCTGCCACTGTACTTGATGAGGCTCTGCATGGCCGAGGCCTCTCCAGGTCCATGAGCTGCTGGGTGCATATCGGCACCGGGCCTCCCGCAGGACGCCGCAGCACGTGGCAGCGTGCCCCCAGGGTCCAGGTAGGCCTTCTTGGAGGCAGCCACAGCCTCCTCCTCAGCGCGGCTGGCATGGTGGTGCTGCGCAGCCAGAACAGCCATCTGAGTGGTGGCAAAGTTCCCGAGCTCAAAAGGCTTCCACTTGTGTTCAGGGCCTGAGGGCGGAGGTGGCCTCCCGGGCTCCAGGCTGAAGAGTTTGGCTGCTTGTTGGGCTGCGGAGCCGGAGGAGCCGGCTGGGCCGCGGGGCACACGTTCACAGGGACGCGGTTCGGCCTCAGGCTTGAGCAGTTCCTTGGCCGGCAAGTAGGCCCGGGCATCCGGAGAGGCGCGGGTGGCCCGCACTGGTGGGATATCGGCGGGAGGCGGCCGCTTGAGCGAGCGGATGACCGAGTTCTTCTCGCGCAGGCCTTCGGGCCGGTCTGGTGGCCGCGGGGAGCCAGGAGGGGCCTGCAGGACCCCAGGCCTTCCTGCCTCCCGCTCTCGGGCTCTGGCATCACGTGCTTGCGAAGCAAGCTGGATGGGCCCTGGCCGCTCGTCAAAGGTTTCCACGGAAGGCACAAAGGTGGGCGCCACCACTCGGTGCTCACGTCCTGGCTCTCGGAAGACGGTGTAGATGCCGGCAGGTGCGGACGCAGATGGCGCAGGCGGCCCCTTGGGTGGCGGTGGGGGCAGCGGCGAGGCACAGGGCCGTGGCCCAGGAAGCAGGGCCTCTGTGCGCCGCAGCAGCCGTGCGCTCTCTTCCTGCCGGACCGCCTCCTTGACGCCACTGCGGCCCACCTCAGCCACCAGCGCCGGCAGCCCCGTGTCCCCTGTTCCGTTGCACATGCTCAGGACCGATGGCTGCAGTGCGCTCTTGCCCTTGGGTTCAGTTAGGAAGGGCGACAGGCGCTCAGCCAGGCGTGGATGCCCTCGGTCCTGGCGGCCCTCACCCCGTGCTTCCTGGGTCAGGTCCACGACACCACGTGACCCTGCTGCCTCCTCACGGGCACGCAGGTCTTTCTTGCCGAACAGAATGGGAGGCTCCCCGACGACCCGGCCCGCCCGCTCCTTGGCCGGACCTTCCCGCGACGAGCCTTTGGCTGGGGCACCTGAGGAGTGTCCACTGGGAGTCCTGGTTGATGGCGTGTGAGAGTGCAGGGTACCCGCAGCCCCTGGGGCGGGCAGATAGAAGCCGTCTGTGGAAAGAGTGTAACAGTGACCCAGGGCCATCTCCCACTCCTGCCAGGGCAGAAGGGGTCCTGTGGCAGGGACAAGGAGGGTCATGAGCAGCACAGTCCCTGAGGGCAGGCTCTGGAAATGGCTGGAGTCAAGTTTAAATCTACTGTGGCCACCTACTAACCTTCCCGAGACTCAGTTTCTTCATCTGTAAAGGAGGTGAGGGACTGTTTCTAAGAGCTGCCAGGAGGGTCTGTGAGGAGGACAACAAAAAGGTCCCAAGGCTAGGGCTAGGGTCTCAAAAAGGCATCTGGGACAGAGCTGGTAGCTGCCTGGGACAGTGGTAAGGGCCCTAGAATAGCCCCTGGGAAGATCCCCATGCCACCCCCTCCCAGCCCCATGGTCTCACCACTCCTGTTCTCTGACCTTTTTGGGTGTCAAAAATGCTGGGCTGGCCCAACTGGCTGAGGAGGGGGCTTCCACTGCTGGGTGGCTCTAGGTGGCTCAGGTGGAGGTAAGGTGGGCACAGCCCACTAGGCAGATGGGAGAAGCCTGAAAGAGAAAAGAAAAAAGCCGGACTGGACCACTTCATACCTCCCAGGAGTCTCCTTCCAGCATTTTCCTTCTCTTGGAAATAAACTATATTAGCAGTCAGCCCGTGGTGCATGAACTCCAGAGGTTTCATACCAGTTCCCCTGGGAGATCCTCGCCCCTCCCAACCCTGTGACTTTGGGCCTCCCTCCAGGCCCAGGAAGCCCTCAAGACCTTAGGGTATCAAATGCCTCAAGAAAGAGATCAGTTGGATCTTCCAGCAAGGAAGAGATGGTGGTAGCTCCCCAAGCATTGTCAACTGCTTTGCCACTATTACACTCATTTAAATCTCAGAAACAACCTAGGATGCAAATGCGTTAATATCTTCATTTTAGAGACAGGAGGAAATCTAAGGCTCAGAGAAGACCACTTGCCCAAGGTCACATAGCAAGAACCCTGGCTTTGAACCAAGATAATCAGACCCTTCAGCCATGACAATTATCCTCAGTCCAACATGGGTCCCTTCTCTTCTGTGTGAGCCTGGGCTGGTCACTTGCCTTTTCTGAACCTCAATGGACCCAGCATCACCGGCTGCCAGAAAGGAATTCCTTCCGCCAAGGATCCTCCCAGCCTCCTGAAGGCCCCCCACTAGCAATTCCCAGAATCAAGACCTTGCAGGACAAAGATAGGAAAGGGAGAAAGAGAAGCAGCAAGTCACACACAGAATAGAGGCCCAAGAGGCCATTTGAACCAGAACAGGTTCCAGAAGGCGGGGCTGTGAGCAAGGGCCCTGATACTCTTCTTAAGCCCAAGATCCTACAGGACCCCAGGCACATCAGAGATGCCTGCAGGACCTGTATACCCCGTGCCCCCAGTTACTCCCTCTGAAGACAGGGACACAGAACATGTCTCCCGCCCACTGGGACGATCTTTTCCCCCAGCACCACCTGATGCCATTACAATCACAAAACCAAAGGACCAACTGACACACACTTCCTCATTTGCTCATTGAAACAGAGCTCTGGTGCAGACATCGGGTCCCTCTGCTTTCTCATCTATAAAATGGGCCAAACAGCCTCCACCACAGGGCTGGCTCTGAGGATAAAGTGAGCTCAGCACGCAATGCCTGGACAGAAAGCAGTGTACATGTTTGCTGTCATTATCCACCTGTATTTGCTGGCAAAAGAGAAGCTGGTAGCATCAGAGGCAGCTTTAGTTCTTCCATCCCCCTGCAGTGCCCACCTAGGCTGACTAAGGTGGGAACCAGGTGGGACCCCAGCCAAGAAAAGCAAGACACCATCCCAGGCCCAGGCAGGACAGCCCCTTCTGTGCAGGGTACACACCCTGATTCCTGGATTCAGATTCCTTCCCCAGGGGGCCTGGAAGGAGCGGCTTGGTAGTTCCACCTGTACAAGGAGCGCAATGCTATGAGGACTGGAAGGGTTCCTGTGGCTGGGGGAATCTCTGATTATATCTGTTTCCTTCTGTGGTACTCCTTCTGAGTAACCATCCACAGCCTTATCCTGAAGGATTCAAGGTGACAGCAAATACTCAGTAGACTGAGGCCCACAGGAGGAAGTGGGGAAGCCGTGTGTACTCCCAAGCTGCAATCTTCCAGGACCCAGGGGAGAAGGGATACCCAGCAAGAGGGAGGAGCGACTAGTGCCAGGTTCCTGTCAAAGAGACAGAAATACAGGAGGCATTCAGGGTCCCTAGGCCTGTCCCTTCACGGATAGAGAGGAAAGTGAGGCTCTAGGGAGGTGAGAATGTGCTCAGGACACGTAGGAAGCCAGGCTGCACCCCCACATCCAGGGGCATCACTACAGAGTTGCAACAAGAGAGCCCAATGGCCCTGCACTCCACTTTGCCTACAGTTACGAAGGCGCCTACTATGTACCAAGGAGCCAGTGCTGGGCAGAACAAACCTGGCCCTGCCCTTAGGGTTCACAAATAATCACACAAATATTCTATTGTCATAAGTGACTGGTGGAATGGGGTGGAGGTGGGGGAGGAGTGTTTGTGCTAGGTTCTAAGGAGGAACCCTAGGTAGCCAGTGGGGCAAGGTGAGGGGCTGCAGGCAGAGAGAACGGCTCAGCTGCAAATGCCCTATGACAGCAACAAGAGGATGCAGAGTTTTTGAGGAAGAACAGGGAGGCTAGGTGTTCAAGGCTGGGCCCCACCACATCCAATGAGGGAGTGATCCTGAAGGTGGAGGGGAGTGGGCAGATTTGAGAAGTGCTGGGGACATGATCGCCAGAATGGCGGGGACAGTGGCCCAGCAGCCCTCAGCCCCGCCCACCTGGCACGCTCCTTACCTTCATGGGCATGTGCAGCCCACAGCTGCACCATGGGCAGGTTGCTGGGGGTAGGGGAGCGGAAGGAGAGGTCAGAGGGCAGGGACACCGGGCTCCCATGGGATGAGGCCGAGGGCCCCATCCCGCTGGCCACAAAGCTGCCCAAGAAGGCCTCGCCTGCAGAGAGAAGGGGGCCGTCAGGCAGCCAACCAGGCTACCACCACCCTGGCCCACCACCCCGAGACCCCACACTACACAGAGCTGACACTGGGAAACCAAGGAGACCTCCCCCAGCCCAAGATGGGCCACAACATAGGCCTGGAACAACAGAATCGCAGGGCTTGAGAAAACTGCAAGACCCCAGAAGACAGCCAGAAGGAAGCCCACTATAGGTGCTCCTACCTGGGGCACCCAGCACCCTCTCAGGAGGGCTTTACCAACCCTGTTATTCACTGAGCCCAGATCCAGAAGAGCACTATTCTCTTCATTTGCAGATGTACACCTTAGGCTGATAGGGGGAGTAGGGACTTCCCCCCCCCCCCGCCACCAAGGGTCAGGTTCTGAGCTCTGCAGAGCTCTTGGACCAGGGCAGACTACCTGCAGGGAAAGGATGGCCCCCCGCAGCAACCCTATGACCATTTAACAGATGAGAAAGCTGAGGCTCAGAAGTAGAAAGCACCTAGTCACACAGCCAGCGAGCAGTGACTCCAAATGTACCCCCGGCAGGGTGTCCCAGAGCCCACCAGCACATGAGCTACAGTGAGTTAGGAGATGAATCAGTGAACAAACGGAATAGCAAGAAAGGGAGCCCTACCTAGGACCATCCCTCCAGACAGAAGAACCCACACTTGGGGCACTAGGGCTCTGTAGAAACCACAGCCACCCTGCCCCATCCCATTCAGCCAGACATCTCCTAGCTGTACCCCCAGACTCTTCCCCACAAGCCCCAATGTTCCAGGCCTGAGGGCACAAGACAAAGAAAAGCTGCCAGCTCTACAAGCCAGGGGCTTCCCTGATGACCTTGGGCAGCTCATCAGGGAAATGGGGTAACAATGCCTCCCTTTGAGAATTGCAGTGAAGAGGGAAACACATGTTTAACCACGACAACAATAGGAATGATAATAATAAATAACAAATAGCAGCAGCACCCATTCACGAAAAGCTACCAGGCCCCAGGCACTTAGCAGGCAACTTCAAATCCTGCCAACAACACCCCAAGGAGATGGCAGCACAGCCTGAACATAGAGCTGGGCACAGAGTCACCAAGCACACCACCACCCTCCAACTGCCAACTCTGGCATGCCTCCAGCCAAGAACATCTGTGTCTACCCTCAAAAAACCCTCTCCAAGTCATTGTTTACAGGTAGCACAGAGGAGAAGACTGTGTAGGGTGACAAAGACAGCCCTACAGGGGGCTCACAGACCCTAACTTAACCTCTGGTCCCCTATAGTCCTCTCACACAGGGCTACATACAGCAGGTACTCACAGGCTCTCACAATGGCCATCCTAGCCTCCTGGGGTACACATGAGAACACCAAGGCCAAGAGGCAGGGCCTCCACCTCAGTCCCCCCAGAGCAGGGACAGCAGAAGTAGGGGACAGATGCCCGCTGGCCACATGCGCCATCTTTACCGCTCATGTCTTCCCCGCCCCCCACCCTGTGCACTCCAGCCCCAGCCTCCTCACCAGACTCTAGAGCCAAGCCCTCGGGACCCAGAGCCATGGTGGCCGGTTAGTCCATCCATGCGGCCCAAGCTAGAGCAGCAAGGCCTCTGGGCCCTGCCAAGCCAAGCTTCCTCCTTGGTGCAGCGGGTGGGGGGGGGACGGCTCCGGAAGCCGGCAACCAGAGGTTTGCGCAAGGGCTTACATCAGCCACCAGCTCTTCCTGCCCAGGCTGCACGGAAGCCCCATGGCCCAGGCCTGCCCTGCCCGGGCTTGTGAAACCCGCCTAGCGGCACCCAAGCCCCAGCCGGATGCCAACCAACGGCTCCTGCCCACTATGGGCCAGCCGGGGCCCCAGAACCCCAGACCTGGGCCATCAGTGCTGCTCTCAGGCCCAGGTTTGCAACTCTGTCAAATGGACAGTTAGTCCCTCCAACTATCAGGACCTTCCCCATATCACTTTCAAAAGCTAGTGGGGACTCGGTGCCTGTAGCTCAGTGGTTAGGGTGCCAGCCACATACACCCAGGCTGGCGGGTTTAAACCGGGCTGGGACCTGCTAAATAACAATGACAACAACAACAACCAAAAAAAAAAAAAAAAAAAAGCCAGGCATTGTGGCAGGCACCTATAGTCCCAGCTACTTCGGAGGCTAAGGCTAAGCCCAAGAGTTGGAAGTTGCCGTGAGCTGTGACGCCATAGCCCTCTACCGAGAGTGATATAGTGAGACTCTGTCTCAAACAAACAAAAAGCCAGTGGGAAGCATGCCCTGCAGGTCCCTATTGCTACCACCCCTCCTTCTAGAACCTTCAGGCACCAGTCCCAGCCTACTGAACCTGATCTCACTCAGCCCCACCTCCAGCCCCTCCTTGGCCCTAAAGAAGCCCCCCAGTAGCCACGCAACACAACCAGGCCCCAGTGTCTCCAGAACCACCTGTTACAACTTAGAAACACGTCTGTCACTGTCAGCCTGGCTGTGCATCTAATGCCTGTCTCTCCCCCACAGAAGGAATACTCCCTCCCTGAGGGCAGGGACTTATCTGCCTTGCTGTCTGCCACAATCCAGTGCCCAGGACCTGGCACCCTGTAGCCACTCCATTTTTTACTTCCTTACTGCATGAGTGTCACTTCCAGGCTTACAGGGCCAAGGTGGATAGATACAACCCCTGATCCACAAGAGGGACTTTCAAGTCATACATAACGCAGCTCAGGATACCCCAGACTGTCCTATTGGCCCACTTGGGATACAGATAGGGATGCAGGCAGGTATCTGAACCTCACCCCATGTCACCAACATCTCTAGAATATCCCCCTACCCACTGCTCACACTGACCCCCCTCAGGGCTCTGGGAGCAGTGACAGGTGCACCAGCATCTCCAAAGACTTTGCTGGAATCCTTCAGCCCAACATGAAGTGGGGGTCTCCTTCCCTCCTTTCCATCTTGGGCTGGGCTCAAGGCGTGGCACCCTAAACCAGGCCTCCCCCTGGTGACAGAAGACCTCCATGCTACCTGCTCATTCCTCCAATTATCTCTCAATACCTTAGAACAGGAATTTTCAACCTGTGGGTCGTGACTGTATTAAAGGGCCGCAGCATTAGGAAGGTTGAGAACCATTGCCTTAGAAACTAGGATCAATGACTGTCAAAAACTAAAACACACCCACTTAGCAACAATAACTTATCATTTATAATATCTGCCAGGAGCACAGGGTGTTATGCAGGCTTAACCGCTCTGAGCATAGAAACACCCAGAATTGCACACTAGCAATTGTTGTCCAGAGCAGAGGACAACTGAAAACCCAAGGTCACAAAGAGCACCAGGCTCATACATGGGTGTGCCTGGGAGAAGGTCGCCTCTGCTCATGGGCACTGGGTAAATAAATGACAGAAGCACTACACCAACAGTAACAGACAGACATTCTATGGCAGTGCTGGGCAGTGTGCTAGCCACCAGCCACGTGTGGCTACTGAACACTTGGAATGTGGCCAGTGAGACTGAAGAACTGCATTTTTTATTCTATTAAATTTTAATTAACCGATATTTAATTTAGCAACAGTCTAAGCCTAAGTTTTCTTCCCTGCTGGAAATGAGAGGGGGCATTAGATAGGAATGGCCAGTACCAGTGTCCCTATAAGGAAGGGGTCCCACCAAGAAAGAGGAAAGAAGTAAATCCTGGCCCAGATGCCCATTTGGTCTGTGACTTTAGGTGATTTTCTCAATGTCCCCAAGGCTATGTGAAATGGATTATGTAGTAACATCTACCCCTCCGGGTTGATGTGAAGATGAAATGAGTTCCTATTTGTAAAATGCTTTGAATAGCTTCTGGCATGAAGTAAATGCCATGTAATGTTGGCTATTATTATTATTTTATTCTTATTATTTATAGTTACAAAATGAAAAGCTAAGCAATTCCTCCAAGGTCAGAGCCCACTCAGGATCCCTTCTTTTACCCAAATGTCCTTCCTTACAATAAAAATCTTATTTTGAGCCAGCTGCGGTGGCTCATGCATATAATCCCAGCACTTGGGAAGCCAAGGTGGGTGGATTGCCTGAGCTCACAGGTTTAAGACCAGCTGGAGCCATAGCGAGACCTCATCTCTAAAAATAGCCAGGTGTGGTGGCATGCACCTGTAGTCCCAGCTACTTGGGAGGCTGAGGCAAGAGAATCACTTAAGCCCAAGAGTTGGAGGTTGCTGTGAGCTGTGACACCATGGCACTCTACCAAGGGCTACAAAATGAGACTCTGTCTCAGAAAAAAAAAAAAAAAAATCTTATTTTGAAATCAGGGCTGTTGGTCGCATGTTATGAATACATTAAATACCACTGAATTTTAATATTTTCAAATGGTTAATTGTGTGTTATGTGAATTTCACCTCAAGTTTTTAAAAGAAAGCATGATCTCTGTTCCCTGCCTCAGAATTTGGTGCTGTCTCCCATAGCCAGGCCAGGCTGGCCCAAAGACCCACTTAACTATCCAGGCCACCCCAAGGCTCTCTCCCAGATCCTGGCTTGCCCTCCCACAGCCCTAGGAGTGAGGGAACCTTGTCACCCCTGCTGACATTAAAAAACTGAGTGCCAGGGACCAAGTCAGCACTGAGTCTGGCACTCTTGCACACCAGCACCTTGGCCTAGGAACTCGCCACGCCAGCAACACCCAAATCCATACATGGGTTCTGCTTTTACCTTTTTCTCTACCCCAATTTTAGTCCCTGGAAAAGGAGGTGGCACACAACCAATAAGGGCCCCCAGAAGGGGTCCAACCACACCTGCCCTACAGAGAGGCCACATACCCATGCCTTCAGTTGCAAGGAAAAGGAGACATTTTGTTTTTAGAGTGAGAGTTGAACAAAATCCTCCAACAGATGAGCCCCCAGAGCAGACACTTCATCAGGCTTCGTAAACAACCTTGGCTCCACACTGAGCCCCTGCCTGGGGCAGATGCTCCATTGTGTGCCCACATTGACAATCTCTAAACCAGCCCCATCTGACAGAAGGAAACTGAGGCTCAGAAAAAAG